ATAATCTATTATTTGATATATCACATGATCAATTTTTGGTAATTATTCTTTTATAATGATTAATTACTAATTATCAATTATTAATTATTATTGATTAATATATTACATATTAATAATTATAATTTAATATTAATTATTAATTGAGTAATTACTATTTATTTTTTATTTACTAACTAATTACTAATTAATAGATTATAATTGACATAATATATGATTGATATATTAATTATTAATTATTTATTTAATAACCTATTATTACTTGTTTTATTGCTAATATGTTATATAATTAATTTTTGGCAATTAATCTTTAATTAAATAAATAATTATTATTTTATTTATTATTTTATTAACAAAATTAAAAACTTAATAGTAATAAATTAATCTTTAATTAATAATTAAGTAATTACTATCTATTTATTAGTTATTAAGTATATCTATTTATTAATTATTAATTAATATAAAATATAATTAATAATTAATAATTAATTATTTAATATAACTTTATTGATAATCATTAATTGTAATATGTTGATTCCCGCACAATCTAAAAGTCAAAATTGTGTTTGGACTGCTTCTGATTTTGGTTGTAGATTCCTCAAAATTATGTAAAAATAATTTTTTACAGTTTTTACCAAACACCATTATCAATTTTTGATGGTTAGAAAAGTGATTTTAGGCTTCAAAAAGCACTACCAAATGCACACTAAGGAGACGTTTGGTTCATGGATTAGAATCATGAGATTAAAATTATTTTCGATTTACGTGTATTTTTTGTAAGAAAAAACACTGTAGCGAACCATGAACCATAATTCAAATCGGGGCACGAATCCCCCAACCAAACAACCCTTAAGTCTAGACAAGAATGGGGGGACGGAGCAATGGAACAAGGCGAATGATGGAGTAGCCACGGTTAAGAAATGCTTTCATGTTTCACAAAATTAATTAGTAATTATCATAATAATTTAAAATATTTTTATTATTGGTGAAATATTTTAAAAAAATTTATCTTATTTCACCATGACTAGTAGGATAAGAATTTTAAAAAACTCTGGCTTACCGGTACGCCAGACGTACTAAAAAATCTCTCTTATACGGTAACTCATTTATACTTTTTTTGTTAAAAAAAAGAAAAGAAAAACTCATATATACTTTCTGATACTTTAAATATGGTGTATGCCTTTGTACATGTAGTACGTCACGAAATAATAATTATTCGAAGCATTTTCTTTAGGTTCATGTTAGCATTTTCACATTTTTCACATAGAAATAATACCCAAAATACTCTTGGTATATTTATCAACATACCACTTTTGCATCTTTGTTACGCAAATACCCAAAACATGCTATGTATTTATAAAAACAAACCCAAAATACCCTCTCAAACAATTAAAATTTTAAAATATCAAGATTACCCTTCTTAACTACAATTTAAAACATTATTAAATTAAAATGTCGAATAAAACCAATCTTAAAAAAAAAGAATAATTATGACATTTTAAAAATTTAATTGTTTCATGAGTATTTTGAGTATATTTTTATAAATATATGAGGTGTTTTAGACATTTACATAATAAAAACGACAAAAATGATATTTTAACAACACACAATAGATGTTTTCTGTATTTTTCCGTTCACATATAAAGCCCTGAATTATCTTCTCCTTCTCCCACAATAATTATCACATTCAACTTAAGGAAGATGTTATTACTCACCCTAAAAATAATAATAAATAAGCGGTCGTTGTTTTCAAGCAAAACAAATTAACGAGATGTTATTATCTTAAGACAAGGCAAGTAATAGTATAATACGCTAAGGCCATGTTTGTTACGCGGGATTTGGACTAAGATTGGTATAAATAATGCCAATCCTATATTTGGTGATCATTGTTGACTTGATAATATATCCGTTGACTCAAAAATTGTCCAAAAAATGTGGGATTAGATAATCCCAAAATTTCTAGGATTATTTAATAACTCAGCCAAGTTCTATCAAATTGGTTGGTAGATCAGAAAAGTTTACGCTGGTTGGTACGTGGTGGTCATTTTCTATGCAATTTGACCCAAAAAGAAAAAAAAAAGACATATAACTTATAGCAAGAAAAAAAAATTTTATAAATAGTAAAAAAAAAGATAATTATAATAATTACTAGGTAATTTTGTATGTAAAAAATGAAAATCATTATAATAATTAAAAATGTTGTTTCTAAAATGTTGAAAAACAAATGTTGTTATATTTCAATATCTTTTGTATAAACAAAACATGCTCTTTTTAAAATGATACGTACATTGCACATATATGATATGATAATGATCCAATTTGAACTGATAATCTAACTTCTTTCATATTAATTCTTCTCTGACTTCTTTTTCCCTTCTTTTATTTCTCTTATTAATAAGCTTGAAAAAGATCTGATCGATCGCACGGAGATAATTATTCGCGTGTTTATATCGCAAGCGAAAGTTGAACCTTTGAAAGTGAAAGCTTCGCGAGAATAAAGAAACGTTTGGTTCACAAATTAAAATTATGAGATTAAAATTATTTTTAATTTACGTATATTTTTTATAAAAAAAAACACTATAACAAATTATAAACTATAATTCAAATGAGATCTTTACCAAACGTCACCTGTAACGCCACCCACCGAACATAACGTTACACTATAACAAACTATAAATTATAATTCTAATCAGATCTTTACCAAACGTCACCTGTAACGCCACCCACCGAACATAACGTTAGTCCACCCCTCAAAATTAGCCACCCATTCTTACGGGGCATTCTAGTAATTACGATAACGATATTTCGTATAAATTTGCCACGTGTCGATCTTTTGTTTTTTGGGTACAACGATCTCAATCTGTCCCTCTTCACAGAGAGAGAGAGAGAGAGCTCTCTCCGAGCTCGGCCATGGCTTCCCAACGACTGTTTGGAAAGTCATGGAACTCATCAACCTCTTTCACCATGAAGCTTTACTCTTCCTGTACTTCCTCTTCATTATGCAATCAATACGCCTTCTTTTCCTTCCACACAAGTCCTCCGAAACGGTGCCGTTCGCTGCTTCTTCTTCTTCTTCTTCTTCTTCTTCTCTTCTTTGACCCGGACTCCCTCTGCCAAACAGGGACTAAAAAGGTCGAGCTCGAAACCAGTTGCGATGTCGAGAAAACCGAGTCTGAGTTTCAAGTCGTTGTTTGGGAAGCGATCGCTGTGGCGACGGATATTCTTCTCGTCCAAGAAAGTTCGGAGCATCATTTTGCTCAATGTTATCACTCTTGTTTTCGGTAATCTTCTCATCTTTTCTTTTTCCCCTCAATCTTTTTTTGTTATTGCTAATTTTAGGTTTATGATGTTTGAAGCAGTTTGTTTTTGCTAATTACAGTATTTCTCATCAACTGAATGGATTGGCGTAATTAAGTTTTGTGTGATATTTCGGATTTTTAATTTGATTCCTGATTATTTGTGGCGTTATTTTGGGTTTCATAATAGATGAGCTCTATAAACTTGATTCATCCTCTGTTGATTTCTTGTAGTATAAACTGAAAACTTTGAGTGGATTTAATTGTCCAAGTAAGTCTTTTTTGTCAATGCAAGTCTTGGGGACACACAAATTGTTTGAAGTTTCTAGCAATGTGCTGTAAAGTACATTTCTTATGGAAAGGAAAATGGGGGAAAAACAAATTTAGATCAAAAGGATTATGCTGAGGTTATAACTTAGCAAGCAGTCTTGTATTTTCCTTTGTGCTGGTTGGAGCTCCAGGAGGGATCCATTTTAAGGCCACATTGTTCTTTAACCTGTACAGAAGTCATCTTAGATTCATGCCTCGTTTGGTAAATTTGACTTAATTTTGCTCTTTGATAGCTGTAGCTAGTTGGAAGCGATTCTTCATATTGTGCACCGAAAGAGAATGCTGGATTCTGAACTTTTAATAATCTTCTTGTTGTAGCTAGTAGCATCCCAGTTGGTAAAGAGGTTGAAGGAATTGTTGACCCGGCGTCCTTCACTGTTGTGCGATTTGCTTTGTCAGCTCTTCCCTTTAACCCCTTTGTTTTGCGAGCACAAGATAACGTTTATACTCGTAATGCTGGGATTGAGTTGGGTTTCTAGGTTAGTCTAGGGTTATCTAATGCAGGCACTGGGATTGTTAACATCTGATGCGGGACATGCAATATTCTTATCTATGCTCACAGTAAGTTTCTGAAATTGGTATAATTTAAATTAAAGCAAACCCTTTTGCTCGGAGCAAGTACCTGAAGGTACAATTTTTGTATAATCTGGGTTAATTGATCAGGTAATTGTGGTTCCATTGCTTGATGGTATGTCAGGAGCGGTAGTTCCTGCCCGTACTTGGTTTGGTGCCCTCATGGCTCTCTTAGGAGTTGCAATGCTGGAATCCAGTGGATCTCCCCCATGTTTAAATGCCCTGTTGTTCTTTGTGTTTTTTTTTTTTTTTTTGAACTAACAGGAAATTGTATTTCACACCAAGAAATTACACACACTAATTCAGACACGAAGGATCTCGAAATACGAAGAGACTTAGCCCTCATCACAAACCGGTTCCACCAATTTATTCTATTGAAGTGCACAAAGGGATAATACAAGGAGTGAAATAAACTTAAATCAAGCTTTATTTCACTGGTAAACAGCACTAGCATAATTAGTAATGATAAGATATTAATGTATCTCTCTCTCTCTCTTTCCCTCTCCCTCAGTCAGTTTGTTGTATGCTTTTTCAGGTTGGAGATCTTTTGAACTTTTTAAGTGCACTGTTTTTCGGTGTGCATATGCTAAGAACGGAACATATAGCAAGAAACACCAGTAAAGAGAAATTCCTACCTCTCCTTGGATATGAGGTCTGTGTTTTCTTGTGTCCTTATCAGATAATTGATTCTTCGAACCAATCCAACTTGTTAATTATTGATACTGAGCATGAAAAGTTCCAAATTTTCCGACGTTCTCTTCAGGTATGTGTTGTTGCTGTCTTTTCAACATTTTGGTATCTCGCTGGATGTTGGCCAGGAGGCTTACAAGAGTGCAATCCATCATTATGGACATGGGAAAAGTTTTGGAACTGGATGGTTGCCTTTCCATGGATACCTGCGATATATACAGGCATTTTTTCATCTGCGTTATGCTCATGGGGGGAGGTATTCTTCTTGCCCTTTTCAGTCATTTGACAACAGATAAGTTTGAAAGGCTTTTTAATGAATAAATTTGAAAGGCTTTTTAATGAACTTGTTTGGTCTACTTTCATCTGTTCAAGTCGACTTAACTTTCCTTCCACATGATGATTATTATTGTTATTGTTACTATTGTTTAAAGGAGGAGGGTGCAATCATAAAAAGTGAAAAACAACTCTTTCATAGAAACTCTGTTTTTGAGATGAGAATCTCAAGCATTTCTTCTTTCACAACATTTGTTAATAAAAATGCTCAAAATGGACAGATGGCTGCAGTGCGTGATGTATCACGCCTTGGAGCCAGTCTGGGGAGGTGGATTTCATGGTTTCTCCTTAGCGAAAGGTGGGGTCCTGTGGTTGGGTTGGGGCTGCTCTTGTTCTAGGTAAAAAATCTATAGCTTAAGTTGAATTTTTTTATTCTTGAAGTCTAATGTAGTTTCACCACCAGCGGGGCTTCTGCATCAATTATTAATTTTCTACCATGTATTAGGCACAAAATACAATTCAATAAGATGTTTTACATGAGTTTTATACGTGCATATAAAGGAGTTTATATACTCATGTTGATATGATTCTAACTAGAACAAAGGAAAATAAATTGAAAGACTGAATCTTTATTGAAGAACAGTTACGAATCTCAATACAATCCCACAAACCCTAACAATGGTGGTCTCTTAGAGAGACCACCAACTCTCCCCAAGAACAGACCAAGAGAAAAAAATTAGAATTTGTTCTTAGTCTAGTCTTGGTATGTTCTTGGTATGTTCTAGGTTTTTTCTTTTCTAATCAATTTTTTTTTTCTCTTTTATAAATTACAATGTTTATTAATACCAAAAAAATCCAAAAAATACGTAAAAATGTAGGTTTTTTAATTTTTTACAAGAGTTTGTTCTTGGTCTGTTCACTGTCTGTTCTCGGTCGGTTCTGGTCTGTTCTTGCTATGTTAGTCGGTTCTGGTCTGTTATTTCAATATTAGTCGGTTCTGGTCGCCAGTGCCACCCCCGCGTGCGCACGCCCGTGCCCCCCGCGCGCGCGCGCCAGTGCCCCCCGTAACCCCTACCGTGCACTAGTGCCCCCCAATAAAACCCGATTTTACAATGAAACACGCGTTTTGCCATCTTCGGGACTGGTTTGAAGTTTTTCAAAAAAAAAAGCTGTTCCCCATAAATATAAACTTTCCCGAGCCAAAATAACCTGTTGAATATGATAATTATAAATGCATTGCAATGCCAATAATAAAAATATTGCAACACCAATAATGTTGTGTATACATTTTACAATAAGCAAAACAACCAACATTTCATATACTAGTACTCACGGGCCTCTTCAGCTTGTACTCGCTTCAAATTCCAACCGCAAGTTCCAACCGGTAAGCTTCTACTTGTTTTTCAGCGAGGTCTTCTAACGGGATTCTGCGGACAATGTAGTCGATAAATTTGTATGTGAAAAGTCTGCAGTCACCTGATCTAAGGTTGTGGACCAACCACTTGGGACGAACGATTGGCCACGCACAGTTAAGTTTATCGCCCAGATGGTTAAATAAACCTGTGTACTTCAAGAACTTGGACATCATGACAGCGATTGGCTCCACGTGTCTTTGCATCTGTTGATTTCTGTACATCATAACAGCTGAGTCATACACCTTTATGTTGAATTCAGATAAATCAACATAAAGCGCAACCCAATGCTTCCTCTCAATGTTAAGAGGCATAGTGAAGCCCTGCGCCCCATCCCATTTCTGGCCAATTATGCGCTTTTTTTTCACAGACATATTCATTTAGGTCGTTGTCAAATGTATACGTTGCTAATTTCTTTTTGTTGGTGATGAATCGCGCTCTCAACTTTTGACAAAATACATCATCTAGGACAACAATATTGTTATTGAACTGCCTTTCGGGTGCCCTTGACCTTCTAATCGATAGAAGACCTCATGCCTCGTCAATTTGCTGTAAGTCATAAAAAATAAATTCAGTATAATAATAATGGTATAAAAAATAAAACTATAAATTTAGAAAATATGTTGTGTGATTACTTACATCATTGAACAGCCATTCACATGGCTTCAAGATGATTTGGAAGAAGTCCTTCCTCCAATCTCCAAAATCGCACTCAATCAGCTCAGAGTCTGTACTAGAATCAACGAACCACTTGTTGAAGGCATCGACATCATCGTTAAAGGTCCACATCTTCTTCCTCACGTTACATAGGGGATCTGTGTAAGGCGACTCAAAATACTTGCTGGGCCTTTTAAGTTGCTTTTCATTTTTTGATTCAGACTCTGGCTCTGAATGAACATGTTGCTCAAGTTGATCCTCAGGCTCAGGCTGAACCTGTGGCTCATGTTATTCCTCAGGCTCAGACTGAACCTGAGGCTCAAGTTCTGCCTCAGGCTCAAGCTGAACCTGTGGCTCAAGTTCTGCCTCAGGCTCTGGCTGAACCTGTAGCTTAAGTTCTTCCTCAGGCAATGGCTTTGGCTGTAATTGTTGTTTCGCTAGACATGCTATATTGTCCTTAATTTTTCTAACAGATTGGTCTAGCGAGTCTAGCCTCTTGTTGATGGCTTCAAAATGTCTACTATTGTACTCTACCATCCTGTGATAGAGTATGTCAACTATGTAATCAATAGACATACCATCCTGCAGACGAGGTTGTTGTTGCTATTGCTGCTGTTGTTGTTGTTGCTCAGGTTGTTGTTGTTGCTGTTGTTGTTGTTGTTATTGTTGTTGTTGTTGTTGTTGTTGTTATTGTTGGGGAAGTTGCTGTTGTTGTTGGGGAAGTAGTTGGAGACGAGCCAATTGTTTGGGAGGCTTCGGTTGCTGGACATGGACCATTTTTGCACCAGAGTCCAAAAACGATGCAAGCTGGTCAATCTCAGGATCTTTTTGGTCGGCATAAGGCAGATACAACCTCATGCATATACTATTCATTTCCTCCTTAGTGGGATAAAGAATTGGTACAACCATTACCTGTATATTAAAAGAACATACATTCAATGATTATTTACGTGGAAACATATTGTAAAAAAAATAAATATGCATATTTTGTAAAATTTACACCTATAAAAACATTGTATTTAAACCCTTACCTCGCCACTTTGCATGAGGTCGTCTATCTGTCTAACCTCGACCAATGAAACCCGGCGTGCCTCCCATTTGAGGATTCTGGGAAGACGTCCATCAACCATCTTTGCAAACGTGGCGCCGATGGTTGAAAATGTTTCGAATGTCTAAACCTGCGTTAAACTAATTTTTTTAAGTCTAGTAAACCAATTATGATATTATTTACTATAAGGCCATAAAAAATTATGCATGTAACTGTATGACATACCTGGAAGGCCCAAGAAAATCCGCATATTGAGTAGGTTTTCTTGATGCTCTTATTACGTCCTTTCCGAACTCAATTCTGAAATTTCTCTTTCAAGTTATTCTTCAAAGTCCGCAGAGTGCATTCAAAAGACACCCTTCTCCATGGATACCGAAAGCCAGCCAATCCAGTGGGACGGTCTTCTTCTCGTCCCCAGATAATAATACTTGTGTTAAAAAATAAATGATAGCGATATTTGCTTTATCGCTACCTTTTATCTTCTTCTTTGTGAGCAATTTTTTTTAAATCAGTAACAAGTACTACGTGGGACTTAAAATGCTCTAACAATCTTATATTCTTCGAAGCTTTCAAGACCACGTCCGGCTTTGGAGTTTCTCTGCAGTTCAATCCAGTAATTAATGCAAATTTCCTCATTCCAAACCTAGTTGTGGTTCCATTAACTATGAACCACAACTCATGTCTCTTTTTTGTTTCTATCCGCCTCAAAAGCAGATATTGTGTCAATACTCCAAAATATATCATATTTTCAGACATCGAAATAAAATGTCTGAAGGCAGACTCCTTAAAAATTTACATTTCTGTTTCAGAGTCTAGATTCTGCCTGATTACCTCCAAAGCCTCGATTTTTGACTTCATAGTCACTTTCACTGGGAAATACTGCCGCACAGGATCCATGATCATCTTTAGATGTCCGATCCCAAGAAGTTCACCTGTGTTGTACTTTGGGAGGTCATATTGAAAAAGAAGAAAAAACACACCGGTCAGAACCGACCAAAATGACAGAACCGACTAGAATAGACTAAGAAACCAACAAGAACCGACTGAACCGACCATGACCCGACCCAAAATCCCCGCAGAACACACATCGATCAGAACCGACCAAAACGACAGAAGCGACTAGAATAGACCAAGAAACCAAACAAGAACCGACTGAACTGACCATGATCCGACCGGAGCAAAATAGAATTTGAGGAAATGGACTAGTTTTTTTTATAACGAAAAAAATCATGACGTGTATCTTACGTGGTAAAAAATGGGTCCTATTTGTCCAAGTGTATGGGTCATTTTCAAAAACTCTCTCCCACAAAACCGATCGCTCGACCCCCTCTTTCCCCCAAAACCGACCGCTCGACCCTCTCTCCACCCGACTGAGCTCTCTCACGACTGACCGCCGGTTTTTCTCTCCGATCACCTCTCACCGACCGTCGGTTTTTCTTTCCTCTCACCTGTTTCTCTCTCTCTCGTCGAAGTTCTCTCACCGGCTGATCCACTCTCTCTGATTTCTCTCGTTGGCCGATCGACCACCATCACCAAACACCGACCGTTCACCACTAAAATCGACCTCTCTTCCCACTAAAATCGACCCCGACAACTCACCAAATTTCTGACCATAAAAACCGACCATTTGCTCACAAAAATCTGACTAAAAATCGGCGACTTTTAGACTGAAATGACATCATAAAACAGCTCTTCTTCCTTAACTAAAACGGTCATTTTCCGAACACTTGTCGACGAGGCAACGGAATCTGCTCAGGTAATATTCTTGTTTTACTTTTTCTTATACATTTTTGCAAGAAAAAAAACTTAATATAAGTAACATTGGTCTGTTCAGAGTCGGTTCTTAGTCGGTTTTGGTTCTGGTCTGTTCGCAGTCGGTTCTAAGTCAGTTTTAAGTCGTTTCTGGTGGTCAGTTCTTAGTCGATTCTTGTCGAGTTGGGTCAGTTCTGGTTGATTTTGGTCGGTTCTAAGTGAAGTCAGTTCTTGGTCGGTTGGTGATCGATTCTGGGTCGGTTCTTGGTCAGTTCAGGTCGTTTTGGTCGGTTCTTTTCGGTTTTGGTCGATTCTGTCTGTTTGGTCGGTTCCTGTCGGGTTTTTGGGTCGTTTCGGTCGGGTCATGGTCTGTTTAGTCGGTTCTTGTTTGGTTTCTTGGTCTATTCTAGTCGGTTCTGTCGTTTTGGTCGGTTCTGACCGATGTGTTTTTTCTTTTTTTTTTTCAGTATGACCTCCCAAAGTACAGCACATGTGAACTTTCTGAGATTGGACATCTAAAGATGATCATGGATCCTATGTGGAAGTATTTCCCAGTAAAAGTCACTATGAAGTCAAAGATCGAGTCTTTGGAGGTAATAAGGCAGAATCTGGACCCTGAAACGGAAATGTTAATTTTCAAGGAATCTGCCTTCGGACATTTTATTTCGATGTCTGAAAATATAATCTATTTTT